TATCCGACGTTTCGCGTGCTTTACAGCGTGCGTGGTCACGGTGACTGAAGACAAAAGATGTTAGATGTCAAAAAGTATCACAGCTGTAGAGAAAGTTGCCGTATCTGTAAAAGATGGAGGGTTTTGGCAAAAATGGCTCACGGTGTCCTCTATTTTCGCGGATTGTTTTTCTTGAGATTTTAATTTGGATATTATTGGATCCCAGGTGTTTGACAATTTTAGGCCGTCTTCTCTATTGAAATTGGGGTGTTTTTTGATTTCAATGGCTTCGCGTACCAATCTTGGGAAGAATCTTTTTTCTTTCGCAAGTATTTTCGGTTGGTCAAAGCGTATGTAGTGATAAGCCTATCTAGTATGTGTTCACAGACTGCTGATTTTGTGTGTCGTCTATGTCTTATGTCTGCAATGTGTTCTTTGAGTCTGCTGGACATATTGCGTTTAGTTTGCCCTATGTAAGACAGGCCACAGTCGCAATCCAGTTTGTATATACCTGCATCTTGCAATGGGGTGCAGCGTGCGTGGTCACCGTGACCACGCACGCTGTAAAGCACGCGAAACGTCGGATAAATTTAAAATTATGTTAAATAGTTGTAAATTTATAATAATACATAACTTCAATCCGGTCAAACAGTTTTTTCTTTAAAAGTACTAGTCATATTAAATATTGTATTTTATTTTTCTTTTAACAAAGTGTCAGTGTGCCGCGCGTTCGCAAGCTTTTATCTATCTATAAATATAAAAATGAATGCCTATTTCCCTTGGTCACGGTAATCCTGACTTTTGTTACGATGGAAAATTTATTTTTCAATGCATAGCGCTTTTACAATTAAAACTTTTTTGATGTAACCTTATGGCGTTTGAAATAACATTAACAGAATGCGTGCTGCAAATATTGTCAAAGAGGATGTAAAGGTGCACTAAAGGTGCGCTTACACGGGCAACTAAAATTGCTCAATTCCAGTCAATACTCGTCAACTATGACGTCACGACTACATCAAGCAATTTACGGCAACAGCAACAAGCATCAATACTGCGCAATACAATATTGAGCGATATGGCGCAACTTCATCAACTAGGCAATACTGTCCTACACGAGCATTTCAGTATTCGCTCGCTATGGACGACATTGTTGTTGCTGCGGCGGCTTGTAGCGCTTTTTTTATTATTAATCAAAAACAAAAAAGAAAGAACAGGAATAGGCGATATCTGGGTGCGATCGTTTTTGGCAAAGAGGCCGCAATTTTCATTGTGTAAAGAATTAGATGATATATTATTTAAAAACTTTACTAGAATGTCACGAACAGACTTTGAATTACTTTTCAATAACGTAATTAGAAATTATTACTATTAAGACCTCAAGTGCGAATGAGACATATACAAAAATTGCTAGGAATTTCCAAGTCCATTGGATATTTGTCAATTCGTATCTGCGACATTGAGCGATATGAAATATCTGGAGCAATTAGAAGCAATATCGCCGAAATAATTTATTGAATTTATTGAAATTGCTCCATTAATTGCTCCAGATCGGTCCATTCGTATCGCCGAGCAATAATTGCCCTCGTGTAAGCGCACCTTTACACGAGGGCAATAATTGCTCGGCGACACGAATGGACCGATCTGGAGCAATTAATGGAGCAATTTCAATAAATTTCATAAATTTCGCTTCTAATTGCTCCAGATATTTCATATCGCTCAATGTCGCAGATACGAATTGACGAATATCCAATGGACTTGGAAATTCCTAGCAATTTTTGTATATGTCTCATTCGCACTTGTTTGTTTTGTGGCTTGCCGTCTTGCTTCCGAGGGGAGAGCGAGAGGTCGGGTGGAAGTAGGAAGTATTCAAAAGTAATTCAAAGTCTGTTTGTGACATTCTAGTAAAGTTTTTGAATAATATATCATCTAATTCTTTACACAATGAAAATTGCGGCCTCTTTGCCAAAAACTATCGCACCCAGATACGCCTATTCCTTTTCTTTCTTTTTTGTTTTTGATTGATAATAAAAAAAGCTCTACAAGCCGCCGCAGCAAGAACAATGTCGTCCATAGCGAGCGAAAACTGAAATGCTCGTGTAGGACAGTATTGCCTAGTTGATGAAGTTGCGCCATATCGCTCAATATTGTATTGCGCAGTATTGATGCTTGTTGCCGTTGCCGTAAATTGCTTGATGTAGTCGTGACGTCATAGTTAACAAGTATTAACTGGAATTGAGCAATTTTAGTTGCCCGTGTAAGTGCACCTTTAGAAAAAAGAATAGTCTTTTTTCTTGTTAAAGCATTAAAAGGATCGGAGTTATTATATTGATAAAATACATGCAAATAATTAATTTACGCACACCACCGTTAGTTCAGAACTATCACGCCTTATATTAAATGTTCAATTTATTATGGAATTTTGGTAAGTTTGGATAGACTAACATACACGTTACTAACATAACACTTGGTATACTTGGTTATAAAAAAGAATACATGAATTTGCAAATTTCCTGAACAACAAACAAATAATAAAATTAAATAAATAAAGTTAACTCTTTAGTATGCCATTTTTACGTGTATATTCTACACTTAAAAATGTTAGTACTACACTTACTTCTAGAAAGACAAATAATTTTTTCAAGTTATTCTCTATTGCAGTTTCAAGTTATTCATTAATTCTACCAACGACCTAATTGTTATTTGTAAGTAATATGTACAAATAACAATTATATATAATATTATATATAGTATTTAGTTATTATTGCAAATAAAATTACATACTTTTATAAACAATTGTATGGTAAATTATAAGAAGTAGTAACTGCCGAACAATCGCTTATAATTAACTTTTTCAATGACAGTTGTAATGAGTCTTCGGAAGGAAGAGGCATAATTAAACAATTGAATGTCTTCCACGCTGTTAAGACTAATACCAAATAAAAAACAGTCCTTTACTTTTAGGCCTTTTAATTACTAAATATTTTAACGTGAGCTTAACACATTATTTTTAAATATCTTTATTTGCAATGTCAAATGTCGTGATGTAAGAGCAAAACACATTATCCTAGAGTTACATAACTAAATACTAGTATTTTTTAACATTTTTGTTGAACGAAATATTATTGAAAGAAACTAAAAAATGGCGCCTGATATGTACTTTTGCGTGAAAGGTTACCCTTGCATTCATATGGCTTTTTTGTAATGTAACAGGCGGCAACGAGCAGGAGGCTCAGCTGATATTAAGTGATACCGCCGCCCAGATTGCTCGCAAGATATGACATGATAAAATCCTATTTGGACGATGATGATAAAAACATATTAAAATTTTTGTGGGCCCAAAACTCTTAACAACTTCTTATCCGGTATATTGTATTTGATCACTTAAAATATTATAGTGTACCATTCCAGTATTAATAATAATTATTTCTAATGCCAAGTCTTAACCATTATTATGTACGCGGTTTATAGTTTATATATATATATATTTTTTAAAGACAATTCACACCAATTGACCTAGTCCCATGCTAAGCTGGTGAAGCTTGTGTTATCGGTACTAGGCAACGGATATACATACATATTATAGATAGATAGACATATATAAACATATTTAAACACTCAAGACCTAAGCACAACACCAAATGCTCATCACATCGATGTTCGTCTCAGCCGGGGATCGAACCCGGGACCCATGGATTCGCAGTCAGGGGTACTAACCACTAGACCAATGAGTCGTCAATATACTATATTATTCTAAAGATATAAAACATTCTTTTACCTAGAATGGTGAAAAAACCGAACACGAGTTATATTCAATATTATTGTCGAGGTAATAGAATTGTATAAACTAGCGCATGGCATGATATAGTAAATATTTTATTAAATATCTAAGAAATTTATTTATTTACTCAAGATTCGCCTGATTATTGTCACGAGGTGTATAATTACAAAAGAGAAAAACTTTGATAAAACAATTGAAATCGACATAAATGAAGTATTTTATTATAGTAAGTATATTAATAATAAATTATATACTATATTTAAGAACTAATAATAGGTATATTTATTCTAATCTCTATGCCATCATTTTCCTTATTTCTTTGTACATATTTCCAAATATTTTTAGACAACGTGATAAGTGTCACTATCATACGAAATTACTGTATTCTATAGATCAATGTTTAATTTGAATTTTATTTTATTATCATTTATTGACTATGGATCCAATATTATGTTAATTCAGTATCACTGACTCATTTACAAACGTAAATAACGCCCTCATTAATAAACCAAGAGCAGTGTTGGTCTAGTGGCTTCAGCGTGCGACTCTCATCCCTGAGGTCGTAGGTTCGATCCCCGGCTGAAGAAAGATAGATCACCAATGGACTTTCTTTCTATGTGCGCATTTAACATTTGCTTGAACGGTGAAGGAAAACATCGTGAGGAAACCGACATGTCTTAAACCCCAAAAGTCAACGGCGTGTATCAGGCACAGGCTGATCAGCTACTTGCCTATTAGATTGAAAAATGATCATGAAACAGATTCAGAAATCTGAGGCCCAGACCTTAAGAGGTTGTAGCGCCACTTATTTTTTTATTTTTCATTAATAAACCAATATATGTGTACAATATTAATTGATCTAATATTATTAGAGTAATTAATTAAAGCTGTATAAAATATTGTTATGATAATTAAGTTTGGAATTATTAAAAACAATAATTAAATTGATTCAAATAATCATGTAAATAAAAAAATAGAATTTTGAAAAAAATCACTACAGACTATTAGAAATGATTTTTTTTCATAATTGTGAAACTGGTAAGTACCTCTCTACCAGCGATGCGATGTCCTTGCAAACCTTTAGTACAGTCTTGTGAAGACACCATGGAGGTCATTGGCATCTAATGGCAAGGAAGGTGTTCAGTCATCCGTTGCCTCTAGGACGCGGTGACAATATAAAGTGATTGTATGTCAAGACACCATCAGTGTACACCTGCCCACAGATACAATACCGCGAAACAATATGGCTTGCAAGGTAAGTACATTTAATCATGAAATATTAAAACTGTGTATATATTTTATTCGTCGAGATTTCAAATTTTTTTAATGTATTTTTAATTTCGATTCGGTTTTTTTTTAAATATAGTTGTAGGTTCGAATTTTATAGGCACACTTTAAGCTATCTAATTTTTTAAATAGTGACTTGAAAGTGAAGACTATATAGAAGGAGTCTCCTTCTTCGTGAAAGCAATAAGTCTTGATAGCGTTATGATATATAATATATAAAATTATTACATTAGTTTCAAAGTATTTTTATAAAATTTTATATAAATATGCTCATGGCAGATACAATGATGTCGTATCTGATTGTTCTGAACAAGATAATTACAAATTAAACCTGCTATCAAACCATTTCGCACTTCTAAGATAAGCGTCAATTTCAGATCTTCTGTCTTATTATGTTGAGCTCCATCATCGCGGTGGCTTTAGCTGCCCCGGCTGAAGTCTCACTAGAAAAAGACACAGCTTTAGAGAAAGACTTGACTTCCGAAAAAGATGACTTACAACCTGCCGCGTCCAATTGGGGTGGTCACTATGGGGGTTGGGGTCATTATGGAGGCTTTGGTGGCTACGGGTACTACCCCCATTATGGGTACTATGGCTGGCCTAGTTATGGATGGTATGGCCATGGATCGCCTTACGGACATGGCTATTGGTGGTAATTATGAGGCTAATCCAAAGAGATTATCACAGAATATGGTCGGTATGTCATAGTTTATAAAATGATTGTTCTTTGTTTCTGTACTTCATAATCACTTTTATATTTTCTGGTACACATCTTCTGAACTGAAGTGGTATTGGTGTTTAATTTCCAGGCCTAGAATGAAGTATTAATTCAAATGGTATTTAATATATTATTATTGTTATCAAATATTATTTTTATAGGTACGTACCGACCATTCCTCTTGATTTTTGAAGTCAGTCGCTTTTGTAACATTAAATCAGCAAACATATTTTAAAACTACTTGGTCCAGGCCGTAAATAATTATTTCTTATAATAAAGTTATTATTAAAAATTAATCATTTTGTGATATCTATTATACACTAAGCTACTTATTTGACTTAAAAAACAAGGGGTCATTTTAAGCACTTGCCGAAGACTATACATAATGTTATTTAAATCTCATAAATATTTAAGTTATCTTAGCTTATGACTAAATATCACCGTAAATAAATGTAAATAATAATGTATTCAAAAAATGTTTTAATTTTATTTGCTTCCTTTTTTCCTTCTAGAATAAATAAAATACTAGTATTATATTTGCCTTTACATTTCTACAGGCGTATTTTTTTACATAACGCCAATTTTGTGTAATATTTTATCCCTAATTATTATGTTAACATTTTCAAATTAAGTAATTAATATTCAATCGACAATCATAATTTCTATATAAACAGCTCCTTACTAGATGATCAAAGGTCCAAGTATATTTTTAACCCTTACAATTTTTTCTTCGATTTAAAGATAAAAGCATAAGTATTGTATTTTTTTGTTAAAGAAATGTTATCTATTAATAATATGTATAGATCAGCAGGTTTCAAATTACGCTGCTCTATTTAATAAGGGTTTTTTAGAAGACAACTTTTGTAAAAATAATCTTATGTTAATAATAAATCAAAACAATGTCCGTTATATAAGAATCGTGAATGTTTTTGCAAAAAACTACGACTCAACAAATTTATTTTGACAAACAAGACGATTTACTTTAAATCCAAAAAAAAATTCACTGGCTTATCCCATTTTTTACCCACTTACCAATGTTTAGCACTTAAAACTAACGTGCACTCATACTACTCGTAATTGATTAATTCCAATGGTTTTGTCCTTTTCTATCCTTTAACAAGGCCAAGAAGAATATAAAAAATTAAACGTCAATTTCTAAACCCTTGGAAGTCGTTTATACTATTTATGATAACGTCAATAACGTAACACAGGATTTATCAGAAAAGAAAAACTCCTGCAAAATATATTGTAGCAATAGCTGTGCAGTATGTAGTTTGACTTGATAAAATTACTAAGCGTTACATTATTTCACTTCAAGGTACAATTGAATTGAAAAATGAAAATTGAAAAAATTGCTATTCAAGATATCATATGTATAGTTTGAGCATAATTATAGGCTTTCGTAGCAAAATCAGACAAAATAATTACGGTTATACACAAATGAAAGTCAATATATACCTACATATGCATATATTTTTAGTAATTTAATTTAATTGAATTTAAATTATGTTTTTAAAGTTTCTTTTACAATATGAAATACTATATACTTATAATATAAATATTATTATTATATTACCCAACAAATAAAAATGTTCGTATCTCGTAGGTCCCGCAAGCATCAAATCGGCATGATTATGAAAAAATCTAAGGAATTTTTAAATGTAAAAATGTGAAATCGACTTATTAGCCTATATATTATATAATCATGTTGTTGTTTTGTAGTAAATATCTATATTTTGTTTTCGTAAGCAAACAAAATAAATAACATTTTTACTTTGTTGTCGAACTTGTTACCTTTAAAGAACGTTTTCGGCGCTTTTAAAATTGGTTATATCTTAACATCGGGTAAGCCCTTTGTCATCACAGTTACTAGTCCCGTACGTTGATATTGCGACTGGCGGCCATCTTAGTGACGTAGTCGATCTGTCCGTGTCAGTACCGTGCGCAAGGTCACCCAGCACTTACGCGGATTGAGTAGATCTACGACGTGTTTTTTATTGCTTTTTATTTTCGTTATCGTGTTTTATTTTTGTTGTTTAGTTTTGATATCATACTTGTCCTATTAAAATGAGCAAAAAAGTAATTAACAGCCGTGCTCGTGAAATGATTATTAAAGTGGACAAATTTCGTTAAGGAGAAAGCGGACTCTAAGTTATTGATTCAAAATAATATAAACCAAGAAATAAAATATAAAATAAGAGCAAGCAAATAAATTAATATTATTATTATTAACTTTTTTGTTGTCTGTACTTTTCTGCGGTGGATGACGTCACGCAGCTGTTATTGTGACAAGGTTCCATCGCAATATCAACGTGCGGGGCTAGTAAGCTATAACCTACATAAATATTTTTATATGAATAAATTTGTTTTATTTCTATAAAAAAATACAGGAAATCCTTTTATTATAAAGGACTATGTTTAGTAAGCAAGCATTTATATGGATAATTTAAATGTATACATATAAGTAAATATATGAGTCACCCCTATACGTTATTTGGGGAAAATTAAACAATAAATATTTAATTATTAATTTAAAATAGGAAAAACTTTTCTTAACCAAGTAAGTCACTGCGATTGACTCTAACTACGATGTTAGAATTTTGTAACAAATAATGTTACAAAAATAATTATTATTAGGAGATCGTGATTTTATTAAACTCTGGTCTAAAGCCCGAAGAAAGAATGAATTGTAAATTATTATTATACAAACATTCCGGCTTATTGACCTGAATAATTTTATAATTATAAAACACTGACACTACATTGATTATAGTTAATGTTTTCTTGATCATATTTCCATTTTAGTGATTGTGTAAATTGTAAATAAATAAATAAAAATAAAATAAATAAGTTAAAGTGTTGAAGCCCCTTCATTGTCGTAGGGATCAGCTGGATCCATTGTTTTTTTTAAACTGTGCAATGGTTTGCTGGACTCACCTCATATATAGTTAAAATTAAGCATTTCTGTTTCTAGAAATTTGAGACATTTTCTCCACTAAGCGCACTAAGGGTTCTACGCCCCACTGAACAGAATGGCTAGAGTATGCAATCTCTTCTTTTGCTATGTTATGTAATTTAAGGGCTTTTTTGTAACATTTATCTATCTTTGTAAATTAATGAATTATAGGCATAATGTTTGTGCACCTTATCGGCGCCATACATTGATTTTATTAAGTATAACTTTTTTATATCCTTTTTTTTTCTAATGTGGCATTTGGCGTTAGTGCCGATGAATATATCACACATTTCTGAAAATTTGTACGTAATGTTGAGTATAGACAAAGTGCATACATTTCTAATTCTATGTAAGGAGAAAAATAATAAATAAGTTAGCATACAAAATATGTTTAGAGATAGATACATTTTGGCGTGGTATTAATTCCACAACTACTTTATCCAGCCTCACTTGTACTTGTTGCTTACTGTACCTCATTCCACCATCTTCAATTATAGTTTTAACTGTAAAGTTACGCAATAGGTGTATAAGGCCTGCTTTAGTTTGTAAAGTGGCGTATCTCATACCAACACAAATTCTGTTTCCTTTTCCAAAAGGCATATAAGTTATATCAGCAATTTTATGTCTGTTTTCAGCAGAAAATCTCTCTGGCTTGTAAACTTCTGGCTCCTCGTAATACCTTTCATCATGATGAAGTTCAAATATAGGTGTGAAAATTCTAGTACCTTTATCTACTTTAATATTACCCGTAGGAAGTACGGTATCCTTTACACACTGTCTACTTGAAAATCCAATCGGTGGGTGCATTCGCAACGCTTCGTTTAAAGCCATATCAAGGAAGGTCATGTTGACTACAGCATCGTACGGCATTTCGTTATTATGTTCAGCAAATGAGGCATCAATTTCTTCGTGTAATCTTGCTAGATGTTCTGGATTCCGTCCTAATTCAACTAAAGTAGCAAAAATTGTGGTTGCTGTCGGTTCAACGCCGGCAACGAAGAAGAAAAATGCTTGAGCCGCTAATAGTTCATCCGTCGGTGTCATTTGCAAGCCCGTCTCTTTATCGATTAACTTCCCTGAGTTTTGTAGCATAACACAAATATCGGCGAAATCGTGTTTTTTAACATAATCTTGTTTTCTTTCTTTTATCACTTGTTTTATGGCACCGATGAAAAATTTCTCGTGTCTTTTAAAAAACTTGAGGTTTAACATTCTAAACAGACTAGTACTTACATTTGCCAAGGAAAATTTTATATTGTTAACAACACTTGGCTCTACAGCTGTGCGAGGAGGAAAGGTGAATCAAAAATTGATTTCGTGCTCACTCCAAATACAGCAGCACCAATTGCAGCACTGCAGAATGAAGAAAACGTATCATAGGTCTTTTCATGCCAAAGATCGGGATTAGTTTTCAATAATGTGATAAAGTCTACTGCACTTTTATCAATAATGTAGTACATGGATTTCAACTTTTTCGAAGTAAATAGTGGCGTCATGTTCTGTCGCATTAGCTTCCATCGATTACCATGCATTAATAGAATATTATCAGCTAAAAGATATCCCTCGTTCGTATCTACTCCTCTATGGTTGAAGGAATTAAAGTCGGACGCTAGGATATGTTGTATGTTAACCGGATCCGTAACATACAATGTCGGAGTTAATAATCCTCCAATGCCCACAGCTGGCTCGTTTCTATAATCCTTGTACAATTCACACAAAATCTCAAAAACAGCTTTGTCTTGCGTTAAGAAATCCCAAAAAACACAAGCCGCTTTGTTGCGCGGATAAAATTTAGCATTTCGTTTACGCCAATAAACTTCATAGTATTTCCCAATTAAATAATTTATAAATAATATTAAACATAACCCAGATAGAATTAGTGTGAACATATTAATATTTTAATCTGTACGTAATAAAGTGCTATATAATTTGACACATGTATATATAGGGATCGCGTCGTTAGGTCAATTTTAAGTATCAACAAGATATTGGTAAACAATAAACTACAAGCTCCGACCTTTTCAGAATGCCAAATCATAAAATGACTGCTTCACGACTGATTTGAGAGCGACCGCCGATGCGAAAACCGCTGTGTGAGTTCGAAAAGTGAGTTACAGAATCGCAGGGCTGTATAAAGGTTCTATCATTTATGTGATAGAATACAATATTTATTTATTGCGCTATCGTAGAAGTGTTCACTTAAAAAAAAAAACACTAGTACAAGATTTGTTTTGTGTGGCTATGGTATGCTTTCTGCAGAAAGAGGCTCAGGGCAGATACAATGATGTCTTATCTGATTGTTCTGAACAAGATAATTACAAATTAAACCTCATCCCTGTACCAAACCTGAGCTTTAGAAAAAGACTTGACTTTGGAAAAATATGCCCGCCGCGTCCAATTGGGGTGGTCACTATGGGGGTTGGGGTCATTATGGGGGCTTTGGTGGCTACGGGTACTATGCCCACTATGGATACTATGGCTGGCCTGGTTGTGGATGGTATGGCCATGGATCTCCTTACGGACATGGCTATTGGTGGTAATTAAGAGGCTAATCCAAAGAGATTATCACAGAAGTCATTATTTCTTATAATTAAATCACTAATAATATGATTCATTAAACAACATTTAATCATTTCGTGATATCTATTATACACAAAGCTATTTGACTTAAAAGCAAGGGGTCATTTTACGCACTTTCCGAAGATTATACATAATGTTATTGTTATAAATATTTAAGTTATGTAAGCTTATGACTAAATGTCACCGTAAATAAATAATAATAAATTCAAAAATGTTGAAATTTTATCTGCTTCCTTTTTTCTTTCGAAGAATATGGAGCAATATCTAGTATTATATTTGCCTTTAAATTTCTAGAGGCGAATTTTTTTTTACTTAACGCCAATATTGTGTCATATTTTATCCCTAATTTATTTCTCTTAGATGTATTTATTTATTTCGTAATTTTACAGCTAACAAAATAATATATATAAAAACTAACAATTACACTAAAATTATATCCAAAGATGGAATACATAATATTTACTAAAAGGGACAAACGTTTACAAAAGGGTAAAATCAATAAATTCATATTCATATTCAATACATTTAACTAAGCAATTTTTCAAAAAGTAAGCCGCAATTATTGTTTTCGTCGAGAGTCTAAAGAATCAATTTTAAAATGTTCACACGCGTCTTTATAGGTATTAAACTTATTATAGGAGATAAAGTGTATAAAGTTGGATCTTTTCATTCCATTTTATCTCTGTGTACTAGTAACCAAACCAAGCAAACATATTCGAGAACATTTCTTACATATTGTAGTGTATTGTATCACTTTCCTACAGTTGACATCATGTGTCAACTTTTGTGTCAATATGATTCTTATACTTCATTTTACAATATACTCCTTTTAGGGATTTGTTATTAATATTATATCTAAAGTTAAATTTGTTTTTCCATTCTAGTGAATGTTATTTTGACACATTTTGGAGCAATAACCTTTAATCGATTTTGTCTATAATAATTACAAAGGTTATTCAAATAATAGCCTGGATTTTGTGACCTTGTTTGTTTGTTTTTCTTCAAGTATATTTTTTTATCATCAGCGAACATAAGGTAATTAGAATCTTTAATGCTACTATTTATGTCATAAAGATATGCATTGTATAACTCCAGAACTCATCTATTTAATTGATTTTCTAGAAGACAAGTTTTATAACAATATACTTACGTTAATAATAAATCTAAGACTTGTATCTTAATCTAAATCTTGTAACAAAACTTGTCCATAATCCAGTTCATTGTCAAACTTGCTTCACCCACCACAGTGATTGGTCGATTACGCGTCTTCGGTGAATCGCTATGTGGTTTTCACAAGTTATCATTATAATTTACAGAATCACCCTACCCTACTCCTGTGACATACACATTTTTTTAATAAATTGTCTCTACAGAAACACATAATTTAACATTACGATCTAGCCTGTCTTAAGACTCGATATTTTAAGATATTTTAACTTAATAAAAAGATATTTAACATAAGAAAATGCCACATTTTTCTTGTAAAAAGAGTGGCGGAGAGTTTATTGCCACTTCTTCTCTTCCGTTTTATGCCCTTGATTTGAGAACTGGCAGTAAATCTAAAATTAGAAGCATTTAATGTATGCGTATATTTCTTTTTTGACGTTCATAAGTGCACATTGTGTTACCTACTTATATAAATGATTTTTGACTTTGTGTACTATTTTTTGTCACTTACCACTAAGCACTTAAGAATAAAGTGCACTCACACTAATTCACTAATTCGAATGGTCTTCTTCTTTTCCACCTTCTTACTAGGCCAATAAGTTGAATACACAACATTCAACGCCAAATTCTAAATCCTTGGAAGTCGTTTAAACTGTTTATGATAACGTTACTACAAACTACTAACGGTAACACAGCATTTATCAGACAAGAAAAACTCCTGCAAAATATATTGTAGCAATAGCTGTGCAGTATGTAATTAGACTTGATAAAATTACTAGGCGTTACATTATTACACTTCAAGGTACAATTATTCATATTATTTTGTAGTAGTTAATAATAAGTACTAATATAAAGTGATGCAAATAAAAATATAAGTCACATTGCAATTATAAATTATTTCCTTATGAGAATATTTAGCTTATTCAATTGAATACAAATAAAATTTACATTATTCAAGATCTCATATATATTTGAGCGTAATTATAGGCTGTCGTTCCTAAATCAGACAAAATAATTACGGTTACTACAAATAAATGTCAATGTCCTCGGGATATTTTCAGTGTAGTTGAATTTAAATTATGTTTCTAAAGATTCTTTAAATCATAAATTTTTTTTATAAAATTATAATTTAAGAAGAAAGATTAGATTATATTATATATTATAATCTAAGAAATTAAGTTTGTGTGGAAATTGTGTGTGTTTTTAATTCGTTGTAATCATTGATTTAATTTTCATCTATAAAATGTTTAGTATCGGAACAAAACTGGGGCCACTTGTATATGTATAAATAGTTAATCAAAAGATATATATAATTATTTCCTAATTTTTTACACATTGGCTATGCGTTAAAAAATCAGACCGGAGCGGCTGTACTTTTTTTTAAATTTGTACTGTCCATTATGAGCAGCATTACATAGTCATTATGAGCAGTGTGGGCCTAGTGGCTTCAGTGTGCGAACCTCATGCCCTGAGGTCGTAGGTTCGGTCCCTGGCTTTTAACATTCGCTCGAACGTTGAAGGAGAACATCGTGGGGAAACCAATGCCTTAGACCCAAACAGTCGACGATATGTCAGGCACAGGAGGCTGATACTTGCCTTTTACATTGACACATGATCATGAAACAGATACAGAAATCTGAGCCCCTGTCCTAAAAAGGTTGTAGCGCCACTGATTTATTTATTTTTATTATATACTCGTATATTTCAACCGCAAACGATTACAACTACTTCTCGACTTTAGTTATTGGGGTCAGTGGTTAGACTGATCGATCGATCCCTTTAAATCTAAAAGCAGTACTTTCTCCACACCTCAAAGCATGGATACTATAAAGATCAGACAGCACACCAGGGCGTCACCGGTAATTTTTCAGCCCTTTAATTGGGACTGGAACCCTCTATAAGAATAGAGGGTTCCAGTCCCATTGTAAGAACAATACTCCTCAGACTAAATAAAAAAGAACTCCTCTTATTACTATTCTTACTTGTATGTAGTTAGATTTGGATTTTAATTTAGTTTCCTTAGAAAAACTTAAGTTTTTCATTGTAAACATTATTGTATTAATTAACCATAAAAAATAATTTTACGATAATACTATGTATGCTTAAGAATCTTTTGATTACGTTAATATAAAATATAAAAAATAATTTCCGTCATCTATTTGACCTTGCTTCCGGAAAGGTCACCGGTGCTGACCTTTTAGTAACAAAATTCTTGCCTCTCAATGTTTAGCTTCTTGAGACCACACGACATCTTCATTGGGTGCTTATTCTAAAACCATTCTATATTACTAATACTCAATATATTATCGTCATCCTACTTAGTGAAGGGAGTATGTTTTTAAACCAAACAAAACAATATATATTATCGGATCCTATCAAATATCTTATTAAATAAAGTAGTTAGATAAAATTATGTAAATTATCAAAATTAATATACCTTAAGCTTCATAAATGCAACGAACGAAGAACGGTTTCAAATAGCCACTTCTTCCTTGTGTCTTTATCCTTCCGTGTAATTGTTTAGCTTATTTAGAGGTGAGCTAGTCTCCCACCTATTCTACCAATATAGGTGACGCCCAGGCTCAAAAACACTCCTGCTTTCACTGTGCAACGTTTTGCAGGTGCGTTTGAACCAGGGTTGGGATTTGCCACCGATGGGCATTTCAGAGAAAGGAATAAAAAGCCTTGCCTTGCAACAGCATCAGGATCATTCGGCGAAAAAAATATCAGCCTACATAGGCAGGAAGCACAAAACTAACGCTTTCCGTCCCAATATGCTAAACTATAGTGGAAGACGCGGTGACAGCCCGTAAATCTAGTCCGATCAAGGCGCGTAGGAAAGGTGGGCGCCGGTAATATCACTCACCGCATATAAATAAAACAATTTAAACATCTTCAGTAAAACCTTAAATTCTGACCTATCTCTCTTATAGATACATTAAAACTTGACAAGGATGAACCTACTTCATCACTTCACGCTGGTTTTCTGTTCGACTCTCAATCCTGAGATCGTGCATGATGTCAGTCTGATCTGTAGTAGACCCTCATATTCATAAAAATTTAATCTGTATAATTGCACCGTTTTAATTAAAAAATACATCCGTCTCTTCTCATCACAACGTAAACAAAATTTTGACAGTCTTTTTCGTTTAGTAGTTCAATATGTGTGTATTTAAACATCAATATCACACGGTTTGAGAATAAGCTCACCAGAGTACTCTCTTGTAACCTCTATCAAACAAATCTAAATAATTCGATTATTAATGTTAAACGTTTTTTCAAGGAACTGTTATGCTACTCAATATTACGCATCAGAATTAATTAATAATATAAATTCTTACTTAGTTAATTAAACAGTTTATGGCTACGAGAGTTTTTAATACTATTTCTAAATGTTTTGTTCGGAATAGTGGCAGCTGGTTCCACATAGTGGTGCGCGGAAGAAGCTGCCTTAAAAACGCTCAATTGTTGAACAGTGGACGTCGAAGTGAAGTAAATGCGGTAGAAGATGCAGAGTGACCCCACATCCCTACGCAACACCAAGGGACCAAGCCGCCCCGAAAGGGATTTGTCTACGACGAACCGCTCTTTGTTGAATACGGTCAAAACCTTCCTTTTGACCTGGTACTGGGGATCTGCCACTCAGAAGTCAGAACAGTACTCCATGTTGGGCCGAATAAGTGTTAAATTAATCTATCAGTGAAGGCTGATAGACTGATTATCAACTCACAGTGAAAGCAATGTTTCTGTCCCATTATTATGCAACGACAGGTTGTAAGGATGTTTCAATCTTTAAT